TTTATATAAAATGACTCAGATGAAGGGACAAAGATAGGTTAAAAAAAAGGGGAGTGTAATGGGTAAAGACATGGCAAGCAGAGAATAAACATGACAGACTATTTTGACAGAAAGAAATTTCAAAAATATTGTCTAAATGGAGGGGGTGCAACGCTCCGAGATGCAGAGATATGGGTATTTAGTGCATGAATCATAGAATATTAGTAGGCAGGTACAGCAAGTAGTCAATAAAGTTAATAGAATGCAGTTTTCTTTGTAAAGGGAATTGAATGCGAGAATAAGGAGATTATGCTTCAGTTATACAGGGCATTATTGAGACCACATATGGAATACTGTATACAGTACTGGTCACAGCACTTAAGGGAAGGATGTTAATTTGTTGGAAGCAGTTCAGAGAAGCTTTACTAGACTAATATGTGGAAGGAGTGAACTGCCTTATGATGAAAGGCTACGTCTGTATCCTCTGCAGTTTAGAAATATCAAAGGTGACTTAATTGAAACTTATAAACATCAAGGGGCTTGATTGGGTGGATGTGGACAGGATGCTTCCTCACGGGACAATTCAGAACTAGGGGAAAGAGTTTAGAAGTGAGGGTTCACCTATTTAAGTCAAGGATGAGGATTTTTTCCCCTTACATGGTTGCAAGTCTTCGGACTTCCCTTCCTTGAAAAGGCAGTGAATGCAGAATCTAAATGTTACTCTCTCTTCATTTTGTCTTGCTATGCTTAATTTTTGACTCAGTTTCCACTCAGACTGGAATCAAATCTCAATCATCACCTCCTCCCGACTCCTTTCCTTAAAGCTCGCTTCCCAGAACAATCTTCAGGTGCTAAACCCAAAGCTTCCTGTCATCTAATCATTATTTTCCAATTATTCTCCTCTTGTTTTTAAAGAGTGGATGTTCTGCACTCAGCAGGAAACAAAGGCATCTCTACATAAGATTAATCAAATGACTGACAATCTTTTCAGATTAGACTGCTCATTTGGTTATACTTTTTATGACTAACAAAGCAGCCAACCCATCTGTACTCTTCTCCTCCTGTCCCTGCTTAGAATGCAAGAAAACTTGTTCCAGCTTTAACTATGAACAGAGCCAAGATTTAAGCTGATCAAAAACCCACTGCACTGGAGTTTCAACATGTTTTAGACTAAAGCTACATTGTAAAGCCCTTAGTTATTCAGCACTCATCATATGTATTACAACGGTATTGATAAGAGTGCAAGAGGAGTAATTACAGGCAGGTATACAGACTCTTCTATTCTGACAATTTCTCCTCACTTGAAATTGTTCCCATTGCCAGTGACAGATCAGGGACCACTCAATATAGCTGTAATACAGCTAAGATATAGCTTTTTCCCTGGAGTCCATTCACGTTTGGAATGACTAGCTTTAACTGCACTGATGCTAGTCCTTTGTCACCCAACTCCTTCAAAATTTAAAAAGAGATGTAACAGAATGATTTCACCACCCCTACCCCACACTTCATTGAAACCGTGGCAACAGTTACTGTATACACTGCTGAACGAGAACAGAATTACCATTTTAAACAAGAACTGTGTTTTAGACTTGAAATAGCACTGCTATCAGGATGTGAGCTGCACAGACAAGGCTGACAGTTACTGAGGTGATGGGCATTCTTCTGTCACGGTTTGCCAAATGCCATCTGCAAGTCAATGCAAAACTTGAAGTCATTGGTATGGGACTGGAGTCACAGAGTTAGCCCATGTCTTCCTCCCCTACAGGATATTAGCAAACCAGTTGAATTTTTAAAACAACAGCGGCAGCTTCACTTCATAAACACATACTAAGCTGAACCAGCTTCATTTATTTAAACAAAACAAAAACTGAATTCAAATTGTTAAATTGGCATGGTGGGATCAGAACAAAATCTGTGTTATTAATTCAGTAACAATAAGCAGCACTGAGCAAGGAGTCATAGGATAAACTAGACAGTATTTTCAATTAAACTAATCTTGGCCGCACAAAGCTGCATGGTAGCAAGTGTTCACACTGTTTTACGCTGCTTCAGGTCTTACAGATCTTACAGTTTTATAGGATTCAGAGCAAGCTGCTCACCAGAAACAGGATTTCCTGCAAAGTTTCATGTCATTGGGGCATCAAGGTCCATCACTGACACCTACGAACTAAGATCAAACATTTCTGCAGCAGTTAAACATTCAAATGGCTTCAGTAAAAATTACAAATAATAGCTGATGTGACAGCAATACACTAGTCCTGCTCAACCTGTCTGTAACCTTTACCACGATTGACCACATCTTCCAATGCCACTTGCAGAGTGGAACTGCTCTCATCTTTTCATGATTTTAGCCAGAGAATCTTCTACAATGGCTTCTCTTTTCATGATATTACCTCAGGAGATGTCTAAAGGAGATTGTCCCTTACACGGCACCTCTCAGTGACAACATCAAAAGCAGAGTCAAGTTCCACAAGCAGACTGCTGACACCTACCTCTATCTCCCCCAGCACTCGCCTCCCCAACCCTGAAAGATGTCTTGTTTGACAACCAGTTCTGGGTAAGAGGGATTTTCTCCAATTAAATATTACAGATGCTCAAGCCAATATCTGCAGCTGCCACGACAAACTCTACTCCCAAGTAATCAATGTCATCTCTCACTCTCTCAAGTTTAAGCACATTATAAATTATGCCTAAGTTGTCTAGGCCTTAAAATGGAATTCCCCACTGTGTTCATATCTAAAACCATCACAAAAAAATCCTACTCCATTCTTTGGTTTGATGTTAATGGGACACAGTCAGCCAAAAATCAAATAGCTTGAAATGCTGTGTGTTAGAAGTGCTATATAAATGCATGTTGTTAGGTATCAACGATTCCTTTTTCCAAACAGGACAATACAAAACAAAAATACAGTATCATGTTCAGACTCTTAAAACAAAAATATCTTCACATCACTAATGTATATTCTAGAATACCAGAACATCAACCTAATAACAAAAGCTAAGCCAGTAAAGTCTCCACTGACAAATCCATTAACTAAAATATCAAGAATTGGTGAAGAGTTCCCATCTCTGAAACATATCAGACAGATCCCTGTGCACTTTTCATAACAAAAGTCAGCGTTCCCTCTTTCTGCACAAGTAGTCTAATTTTAAGACTCTCTGAACCAGGGTGGATTGGTATTCTGGATGTTCTCTCTCATTCACTGAGATACTGTCACTATCTCACACACACTGGTTTGATCTCTGGAAAGACAGGTTGGCATGTAGAACACAGATAACCCCTGGCTGCCTTCACTCACATAAACTTGCTCACTAACTGGACTCTCAAACACTGACTTACCCTAGGGAGAGAAGTCAAGGAAGCAGATCCACTGATTCCATTCCCAGGTCCCCTCAAACTCTGGCCTTGTCTTTTGGCTCAACAGCTCACTGGTATTTGACCCACTGCTTTTTGTGATCAAAATCAATGACTTAAACTTAGTTGCACAAGGCACACTTCCAAAAAATTTCAAGTGACAAAACTTGGAAGCAAATTGAACTATGGAGAGGAAAGAAATAAACAAGCTGGCAAAATGCATAGACACAAGGCAAATGAAACTTAATGCAGGACGGCAAGGTGATACATTTTGGCATGAAGAGGCAATATAAACTGAACTAACGTGGTGCATGAACAGACACATGAGGCTTAATGTGCATAAATTGCTGATGGTGACAGGACACACAGATAGCAGTTCATAAGGTATACAAGATTCTCGGCTTTAATGAAAAAAAGGCATAGAATACGAAGCAAATAAAATTTTGATGAACCTTCATAACATACTGGTTCCAGCATCAAATACTACTCACACACTTCAGAAAGGATGCAAAGACTTTATAAAGGCACACCAAACATTTAGAAGAATGGCTCCAAGGATGAAGGACTTTAATTAAGTAGGATAGACTAAGAGAAGCTGCATCTTTTCTCTTTTGGAGAGAGGATTCAGAAGAGATTTGAAACAGGTATTCAAAATCATGAAAAGTCTATACAGTAGAGAAGACAAACTTTTCCCAATGGTAAAAGATGGAATTTAAAATTAGGTGGCTGTTTTTGACTGGCACAGACATGATGGGCTGAAGGGCCTTTATTTGTGCTGTAGTTCTCAACAACCCTATAGCAAAAGGAATTGGGGCGCAGAGGAAACCAATTTAAGCTGATTGGTAAAAGGAACCAATAGCAACATTAGGAAGAGGCTCCCCCACCCCACACAGCAACTGGTTAGTATCTGGGTTGCACTTCCTGAGTATATAGTGGAGGCAGATTCAATTGTGACATTCCAAAGACAATCAGATGAATACAAGAGCAGGAAAAAAAATGGAGTGCAGTTAACCAAGCTGGAAACCAGTTTGTAGAAAGCCTGGTCAGCTCAGGACAAGTGGCATCATTCTCTGCTGTAACGACTCCAAGATTCACTTACACTACTCCTGGTGTTGCTCACACTCACCAACACACAAGCACAATCATTAGGTGCCAACACTTAAACTGAGACTACCACACTTAACTCAGCCCACACAGACTCCTTCCCTACCCCATGCTCCCCAGACTGCCTCCCCTCACACCCCTACTCCCGAGACTCCTCCTGCCCATTAGACTCCCTCCCCCAGACTTGTCCCCTTCCAACCTCAGGGCTAATTCCCTCCAATCCCACCCCCAGACTCCCTGACCCTACCCACCTCCTAACCCAGACCATCACCCAGCCTCTACCATCAGACTCCCTCCCTACTCCTACTTCCACCACCCCCACCTATGCTTCCCCTGTCTGTTTCCACCTCAGGAGCTCGATAATCTCCAGTCCTCCACCCCAGGTATTTTCACTGTAGTGCCGCAAGTCCCTTCCCAAAACTCGACTTCTGACAAAAAAAAAGTGTCTGTCCAGTCGGCTGCGGCCTGGCTGCCTCTGGCTCCCCTTCCTCAGCCCGTGCGGACGCAGGGCCCGGCCTGTTTCCTGTCGCCGCCGCGCTCAGTTTCCCCGGCTGCTCCTTACCGCTGTCCCCGATGATGAGCAGTTTAAAGAGATGATCATAATCCCTGGCCATGGCAGCGGCGCTGAGCAGACAGCTCGGTTCAGTCTCTCAGTGGCGGCGCCGCTTCCTCCGGCTGTTTGTGCAGGGCGGCTGCGACTTTCCGGAATTACTCGAGTACACCCGTCTTCCGGAAATAGCCCAGGCTTCCATCACCTCGGCTTTTTCCGGAGTCGCTCTGCGCCCGTCTCTCCGAGGTCCAGGTGTTCGGCTCTTTCCGGCACCTTGACACCGCGGCCCCGGCGTTCGGTTCTTTTCGGCTCCGTCACCGCGAGGCCCAGGCATTCGGCTCTTTCCGGCAACGCTCGGCACCTTGGGTCTTGGCTGTTTTTTTAATTGTTCGGCTTTTTCCTGTAGGGGCTTGGAGCATCTGGTTGAAAAAGTTTCAGATTCCTTCTAGACGTGATGCTTCTGAGACCGCGATCTTTCCCAGGAAAACAGATGTAGGCTGTACTGTTACTCTGAACTCGGTAAACTAACACAAAAGGTCACTCAGCCCATCCAAACCCTGCTGGATTTTTGCAAGAGAAAATCAACGGCTTCCAGTCCCATTCCCACTCACTTTTCCCTGTACCTCCCAACCAATTTCTCTTCAACTGCACACCCAATTAACTTTTGAATTGAATTTGCTAAAACCGTCTTAAACTCAGGCAATGTATTCCATAAGAAATAGGAACAGGAGTAGACCATTTGGCCCCTCAAATCTACTTCATGTTTCCCCTAATAATTAAGAATGTATCTATCTGAGCCTTACAAGGACTCTGCCTCCACAGCTCTCTGTGGCAAGGAGTTCCAAAGACTCAAAATGCTCTGAGAAGAGAAATTCTTTCTCATCCGAGTCTTAAATTGGCACCCCTTCATTCCAAAACAATGCCTCTGGCCCTAGACTTTCTTATGAGGGAAATATGGTCTCAGCATTTACCATGTCAAGCCACTTAAGAATCCTACCTATATGTTTCAATCAGATCACCTCTCATTCTTCTAAAAATCCAGTGAGTAGAGTCCCAACCTGTTCAATTTTTGCTCAGAAGACAAACCCTTCATACCAGGGATCATCCTAGTGAACCTTCCCTCAACTGTCTCCAATAATACCTTTCCTTTAATAAGGGGACCAAAACTGCTTACAGTTTTCCAGGTGTGGTCTCACCAGCACCTTGTACAGTTACAATAAGATTTCCCTACTCTTCATACTCCAATCCTCTTGAAATAAGGGCCAACATTCCATAAGCCTTCCTGACTTCTTGCTGCACCATGTGCTAACTTTCAGGGTTTTGTGCACAAGTACACTCAGTCCCTTGCATTTCCAGTGTCCTCCCCTCCACTGCCTCCAGCCTTATTGTCCCCTAGCCCAGCACTGCCTGGTTCTACCTGCTTCCCAAGATCCACAAGCCCAACTCCCTGGCTGACCCATTGTCACCGCATGCTCCTGCCCCACCAAACTTATCTCTTCCTACTTTGACTCCATTCTCTCCCCTTTAGTCCAGGCACTCCCCCCCTACATCTGGGACACAAACCACGACCTCCACCTCTTTAGAAACTTCCAGTTCTCTAGCTCCCAGTGCTTCATCTTTACGATGGGGATTGTGCAATCCCTATACATGTCCATACCTCACAAGAATGGCCTACAGGCCCTCAGTTTTTTCCTCTCCAACAGATCCACTCATGCCCCCACTCCTATACCTTCCTGCGCCTTGCTGAGCTAGTCCTCATCCTCAATAACTTTGCCTTCAATTCGTCCCACTTGCTCCAAATCCAGGGGGTTGCCATGAGCACTCGCATGGGCCCCAGCTATGCCTGCCTCTTTGTCTGTTATGTCGAACAGTTCCACTATTACATCAATGATTGTATTGATGCTGCATCCTGCACCCAGGCTGAACTGGAGCAGTTCATTGACTTTGCTAACAACTTCCACCCTGCCCTCAAATTCACCTGGTCTATCTCAGACACCTTCCTCCCCTTTTTTGACCTCTTCAATTCCATTTCTGGTGACAGTTTACAGACCGACATTTACTATAATCCCGCAGACTCCCGTAGCTACTTAGACTGCAGAATACCTGTATCCTGCAAAATCTCCATCCCGTTTTCCCAATTCCTCTGTCTCTGTCACATCTGCTCTGACAAGAAGACATTCTACACCCAAGCATTTTGGATGTCCTCCTTTTTCAAATAACGTTCTTCTCTTCACTCTGTCATCCAGGCAGCCCTTCACTGTGCCTCCTCCATTCCCCGCTCCACAGCTCTAAACCTACGCCCCAAACATAATAAAGACTGGGGCCCCTTGTCCTCACTTACCACCCCACCAGCCTCCGCATCCAATGTGTCATCCTCAAACACTTCTGCCAACTCCAATTGGACCCCACCATCCACAGCATCTTCCACTCCCCACCCCTCTCTGCCTTCCTCAAGGACCATTCCCTTCGCCACTCCTTAGCCTGTGCCACATTCCCCAACAACCACTCCAACCCCCTCAGTACCTTCCCCTGCAACCTTAAAAGATGGAACACCTGTTCACACACCACCTCCTTCACCTCCATCCAGGGCCCTAAACAGTCCTTCCATATGAGACAGAGCTTCACTTGCGTCTACTGCATCCAGTGCTCCCAATATGGTCTTCTCTACATCAATGAGACCAAATGTAGACCAGGTGACCGTTTTGTCGAGCATCTTTGCCTGGCCTGTAATGGCCAGTCTAACCTCCTGGTCACAGCCCATTTCAAATTTCCCCCAACTCCCCTTTCAATTTGTCCATCCTCGGCTTCCTCCAGTGTCGGAGCGACTCGGAACGCAAATTTGAAGAACAACATCTTATCTTCCGCCTAGGTACCCTACGGCCCAGAGGACTCGACATTGAGTTCTCTAATTTCAAATAATCTTCCTACCCATCCCCTGCCTCACTTTCCAGCCCTACCTCCTCCATCCCATTCCACCTACTGACCCTCCCTTCCAGCTACCAACTGGATTCATCCCTCTCATTGACCAACCAGATCATACCTATTACTGGTATCCACCTATCACCATCATTCTGCCACCCCACTCATCCTCCGCTTTGTCTGCAGCTCCCCGTACCCCCACATCCAGTCCTGAATAAGGGTAATACCCGAAACATTGGTTTTTTCTTTCCTCCAGATGCTGCCTGGCTTGCTGTGTTCTTCCAGCCTCCTGTTTGTCTACCTTGAATTTCAGCATGTGCAGTTTTTTTTGTCCCTTGCATTTCAGCTTTCTGCAGTTTTTCTCCATTTAAATGATATTGTTCTTTTGTTCTCCCTTACAAACCGAATAACAACACATTTTCTCACATTATACTCCATTTGCCAACTTTTTGCCCATTTATTTAACCTGTCAATATCTCTCCGCAAACTGTTTGTTTCCCTTTTGCAACTTGCCTTTCCACCTATCTTTGTGTCTGCAAATTTGGCCACAGTACATTTGCTTCTGTCCTCCAAGTCATTAAAATATATTGTAAATTGTTGCAGCCCCAGCACTGATCCCTGTGGAATCACTGAAAAAACACTTTATTCCCTGTTTCCTACCCATTAGCCAATTCTCAATCCATGCCAACATACTACCTCCAACACAATAGACTATTCTCTTATGACTTAACATTTTGTGAGGTACCTTGTGGAACACCTTCTGGAAATCCAAATACAACTCAATTACTGGTTCTCCTACCCACTCATCACAACTCCTTATCCAAAAAAGTTCTTTGTGTTGCAGTTGGTCACTATTCCTTTAATTCCATCAGCTTCAATACTGTTGACAATTAGCTCTTTGCGAAATGACTTTGGAAGTACACCGTATTTTGAATGTATATGGTGGGTTTATGACCTGGATGAGGGAATCAAATGCAACATTTTCAGATTTGCTGACAACACAAAACTGGGTGGGATTATGAGTTGTGAGGAGGATGTAAGGAGACTTCAAGGCGATTTAGACAAGTTGAATGCATACAATGTGTCTAAATGTGAAGTTCTATACTTCAGTGTGGAAACCAGAAAGGAAGAATATTACTTAAACAGTAATATACTGGGAAGTGTGGATGTACAAAGGCATCTGGGTGTCCCTGCACACCAGTTAATGAAAAAAGACAGATAGGTGCGGTAATCAATTAGGAAGGGCAAAGGTATACTGGTTCTCATTGCAAGACGATCCTGAGTTTAGAAGTAGGGATATCTTCCTACAGTTTTGTAGAAGCTTGGCAAGACCACACCAGGAGCATTGCATGCAGTTTTGGTCTCCCTGTCTAAGAAATGACATGATTGCCATCGAGGTAGTGCAACAAAGGTCCACTCAGCTGATATCAGTGATAGAGGGATTGCCCTTTGAGGGGAGATTGGCATGACTGGACCTGTATTCAGTGGAGTTTAGAAAGATGACAGATGATCTCTGATTGAAATGTTTAAAATTCTAACAGGGCTGGACAGACGAGATGCAGGAAGGATGTTTTCCTTGGCTGTGGAGTCTAGAACCACGGGAACCTGTCTCAGGTTAGAGGATAGACAATTTCGGACTGAGATGAGGAACATTTCTTCACTCAAATGGTAGTGAACTGGTGGAATTCTCTACCACAGAAGGCAGTGGAGATGAGGCTACTGCAAATTCAAGAAAGAGATAGTTTTTCTTAGATTTTAAAAGCATACGGGGCATGGGGGGAAAACAGGAATAAGGCATTGAGATAAGAGGAGCAGGCTCCTAGTTTTTGACATTAAGAATGAATGAATCCGGTTTTCATCTGTTAAAATTGCCCACCAAAGGGCTCTTATGGTGCAGTGGTAGTGTCGCTGCCTGAGTCAGTTCAAGTCCCACCTATTCCAGGGGTGTAATAAAACAATGATTAGATAGTAATGATTAGAAAATATCAAAAACTGCACACTATTCCAGGATTAACCCAGAATACCAAGATAACTCCAGTTTCTTTTCTTTGTAAACTGCACTCTTGCAATCCTCTTCTTTACCATTCTTGCTCATCCAGTCATAGCCAGAGCGTCAGCTTCTCTTCCCACTTCTGCAACATCAGCTCTGGTGTCCCCTGAGGGTCTATTCATTGTCTTCTACTTGAAATTCACATGCTGCTCTTGACGATAGCTTCCAAAACAAGTGTCAGTTTTCACACACAGACTGATTACATTTAACTATTAAGAGAGAAAG